AAAGAACTGCCCGGTAAACCGTAGGCAGAGAGAGAGAAGAGGACAACAAACGAGGGGCTGTGACAAACTGTTTCGTCGGAGTTTCACCGACTCATGTACTCATATATATATATATATATATATCGTCACAAACAGATATATATATATACACGTACATGTACATATTACGGATGGATGGATTGATAAGTGGGATTTCTTAGCACAAGATGATGTTGGGCCATGCACAGGAGGCACCTTGATGTTCTTGAAGACGCGACGATTGTTTGGATCGATGACTATTGCAAAGACAGCGTCGGGTTGAAGCGCAAGTGCAAAGCGAGCGTCCAGCCGACACAACATCCCTTTGGGCTGCGTGACCACCACCTTCGGAGGTTCTTCGAAAACACTTACGTGTGCCAACGACTGGTCCTTGCGGACCAGGTCCAGGTCCAGGTCCAGTCCTTGGTCCTTCCCTCTCGTGGCTGTTCCAGACGGACACCCTTGATCTATTGTCCGATCTCCACCACCACCCTCCCCTCCCATGGTAAACCTTCCCGCTCCTCTCGTGGCTCCTCTCCGCCCCGAGCGTGGGCTAGGTCCGACTTACACGAATTATTAAGCGATATTGACCGTAGACAGCAAAGATCAACGGCCAGATTCTCCGAATCCCTGCAAGTGGGACCTTGCCACGTGGCTGGTCCAGTCCTTGGTCCTTCCCTCTCGTGGCTCCTCTCCGACACGATCGTATCACCCTTGATCAATCCGTGCCTGCACAGCACGTTGCAACCCACGTAGTTTTTTTTTTTTTTTTTTTTTTTTCAATCAGACTAGTAGGACTTTCCAGGATGTGTATGACCGATTTTCCGACCCGACCCGTCCTGGATGCACCTGACGGCAATTACGTCCACAGAGAAGTGGAAAAAGACAGTGTGTCAGTATGCCCTCAAACGGTGTGGTAGCGACTGGATCTCAGCCGTCAATCCACCAGCTATTCGTCCTCTCTTGCCGCTCATCCACCTGCTATAGCTGTTCCTCCTCTTGCCGTCCAGCCACCTGCTATGGCTATTCCTCCTCTTGCCCGTCTATCCACCTGCTATATAGTTATTCCTCCTCTTGCTCGTCCCTCCACCAGCGCTACTCGCCCTCGTCTTTTTCTCGATTTATGCGTGTCATCCTTTGGCAGGGGGCATGTTAACTAAGTAGTCTTCTCTTTATGTATCTCGTCCCCATTTCTTTTACGGGTGTCCCGAAGGAAGGACGGCCTTCTCTTCTTTTTCTGAACTGCTGTAGAGCCACGTTGACTCTTACGCTTGCCCGCCCACCTGCTCTGCCCTTTGATGAGCCACGTTGACTCTTACACTTGCCCGCCCACCTGCTCTCCCCTTTGATGAAGAGACGCCTCGGCCTCGGGGAAATCGGGTGAGGTAATTCCCGCCCCCGCCCATGTGCAACGATGAAAAGACCACCTGCCGTCCTGAACATCACAAATACCCGTTGCCCGCGAGGCTTCTTTTCTGCACACTTGGCGCCAGGTCCCCATTACCTCGACTCTTGTTTCTGGCCGTTGATCATGGTAATCTTTTTTTTTTTTTTTTTTTGGGAGATCGTGGTGATCTACTGCCAGAGACAAAGAATGTACGTGAAAAAAAATAAAAAAATTGCCTAGGCTGTTTTGCCAGGCGGCCGCTCACCCAACTTCTGCCCGGACACACGCCCGGCCAGGCATGAACCCCGAGCAGGGTTCTGGGCAGCCCCCCTCAAAAAAAAAAAACAAGAAAAGAAATCACGTGGATGGGGTCTTTTTATTTTTTTATGTTTTTTTGGAAAGCTTGTAAATTTCCCTGCAAAATTCATGGGACTTCACAATTCAACCCGGAGTTAGGGTCTCATTAGACACTCCTAAAAGTGCCTGTTTTTAGGATTGCGTCTTGGTTCCACGCAATCCTAAATCCAATTTTGAAAACGGCGTTAGGACAAGTCCTAAAGGATTTAGGATTCGCCAGGCAAAATCGTCCTAAATTTTCCAGTAGCCCCCGACCTACTGAAAAATTTGGGTTCCCCCGTTTCACGGACTCGTTGCGTCGCGCGCATGGCACCGTCGACACGGAGTTGCTGGTGCAGAAGCGGTCCATCGGGTCAGTGGTCGGACATCGGAGGTTTTCGGTCGACGCAGGCAATGGCCACGAACGGTAGCCGTTGGTGGGGATTGGATGAACATTGGCAGGGATGGACGGACATTGGCAACGTGGCTGCGTATACGCATACGAAAACCGGCCGCGGGAGACCTTTTAGGACGAATCCTAAAAGATGAATTTAGGATTGCGTGTAACGACACCGCACGAAATCCTAAAAATCCTTTAAGACTTGTCCTAAAAACTTTAGGATTCTTTTAGGAGTGTCTAACTAGACCCTTATCCTGGCAGCCTCAGCCAGTTTAGCTTATGAGCAGAGCTCAAAAACCAACCAACTGCTCCAAATAAACCATCCTACTGCTGGAAACCAGGTCCAGTGTCCCATTCTACTTATAGCACTCTCCAAAAATTAAACTTTGAAGCTCAGAATAAAAGGCTCTCTGCTGAAGCCCAGGTCCAGCATCTATCAATCTTATAACGGTCTTCGTCAAAATCTGTGAGAGAATATTATGTGGCCATCCATACTTATGAATCCCATTTAGTCTGAGTCTGGCCTCCAAGCCACTCAGGCTGGTTAACCGTCCGGGAGTTGGGCCAGGGACCAAGAGGAAACTGCAGAAGCCTAAAGCATAGTCGGGCTTCCTTTAAGCCCTAGGTGTAGCCGGTATTCTGCACACTCGCTGCCTCTCCGCCTAATACCCAAGGGCCTAAGCATAATCAGCTCTCATCAGAAATCCTGGCCAGCGATTTCCCTCTCGCCCAAGTCTTACAAAACCACTTCGACCCAAAACCCTTGGTTATATGGCATCTACTCCAGTCAGCCCGAATAGCTAGCCGAATCTGTTCCCTCACCTGGAAGATCTGTTCTTGGATAACTGTGTTTTCATCACGAAAAACTTTTGCGTTCCTTGCCGACCAAATAATGTCCATAATCACTCCTCGGCACACCAGGTACATATCCCCAACCCACAGACAAGTTTATAGGACTGGTTGTGGCACTGTATAGGATCCAATTATCTGTCCACAGAAAATCTTGACCTTCTATATTCTTCCAATGGGAAATCCACCAGTCCCAGAGCTGGTCCGCCAAGGGGCACAACAGCCGTAGGTGATTGGCGGACTCCACTCCCCAATCACAACTTCTGCACGTGTCTGAGATTTCTAATCCTTTAGTTGTCAACCACAAGGCAGTCCGCATCACCTGAAGCGATTGTTGCCAGATCAGACTGGCATGTTTTTGAGAAGGTAAGCGTTTCCACAGGTTTTGACAGTCTGGCAAAACTGCCTCGTTACCTTGTCGTTTTTATTCCGCATGTTCGCATGGAATGAATGTGAATTCCCCTTCAATTAGTGATCTTTTCGAATATCCAATCTTGTTGTGTGATGCCTGTTTTGTCTCTGTCTACTATTCACTGTCGTGAGCCGTACGCTCAGATCTGATTGAGAACGCTCATTATGGATGTTTGGGTTTAATCGTTATCTTCCGATCACCAAGAAAACTGATTGCCTTTTTTTCCTCCTCCCCTCCTTTCGTCGCACGTATGGCATGTAATGACCAGATATCACCCATGAATAGAACAATTGCATGTTGGCCAACACGATCTGCACACTGAGCCAATCCGTCGTGACTCACGTGCGCGCTCACGTACGACCGCGATCTCGAGAATCCCGAGTCGCCACGTACGCGCTCGTCTGCGTGAGTCAGCCTTGACCCCGTATAAGGATGCGGGGGACCGAGCTTACTAAACGGACATGGCTGCGGGATTTCCCTCTTGGACGTCCGACTGCGAGAGCCTGAGGGACCCGAAATACCACGAATACTGGGAAGGCGAACAGCGTAGACAACGAGGAAACTTGAGAAACCCGGAATTCCCCTATTTGACGGAGAACGATCGATTGTGCGCAGAGGATTTCCACTGGGCCATAACCAACGACCCTAGGGGCTCAGACTACCCAGATACGGACAATACTCAATACTACATATCCCCGGGCTTCGTCGTTATTACTACCCGCTTCCCTCCCTTCCATCTCCTCCTCCCCTATCATCAACTCACATTGGTACAAAAGAATTTCATAGCTCGCTATTGGCCCAGTCCACCGTGTGAGGATTGCCAGCAGTACCGGACACGCCGAACTTCGGGAGCTACCCGACAAACTCGAACCGAAGATGAGCAGCGATTGCACAGCTTCCGCTTACGGTCCGCCCTGTCGGATTCCGAAGCCTGTTACGAGCGGCGTCGACAACTGGTCGAACCGCGCGACCAACCGCGAAGGCGAAACCAGAGGCGATTGTGACTTCCATCTTTGTTTTTTTTTAAGCTGACGAAAATTGAGTTCGTTGGCAAGGACAATGTTGTTGGGATTTTGTTCGAGAATGCAAGAGTGTTTAGATCTATCGGTGCTGTGATTGTAGAAGAGTACCCTGGGATCTTTAGTCCGGGCTGCACTGCACATGTCATCTGCCTTATGTTGCACGACATTTGCGGCTTTCCTACTATGTCCAAACCACGAGAGGTGGTCTACCTTCTTTCTTATAGAAATTAAAGCTAAGTACGACCTACCTATACCCTCTTGCGCTTTT